ATAGGGCTGGAAGGGACTTTGGGGGGTCTTCAAGTCCAATCCCCTACTCAAGGCAGGAGACCTTATATTATGCCAGTCAAATGGTTGTTCTTTCTATTTTTGAAAATCTCCCATGATGGAGCACCCACAACTCCAGGAGGCAAGATGTTCCATTGATTAATCATCCTCACTGTCAGAAAATTTCTCCTTACTTCTAGGTTCGATCTCTCTTTAACAAGCTTCCACCCATTACTTCTTGTCCTGCCCTCAGGTGCTTCGCAGAATAAGTCAATCCCTCTTTTCTGTGACAGCCCTGCAAGTACATGGAAAATTAAAATAAAACCATGGACTCAGCAAAGAGTCTGGATATCCCTTTCTCAAGGGATCCGCAGAAAAGATCTCAGCTTGCAGAAAAGATCTTGGGCTGCGTATTGCTGTTTTCATGGGATAAATATAAGATAAATGCAAACTTTTTTTATGAAGACTTTTTAACGTGGCTTCTTATGGCCCTAAGAATGCTGTATTCTCCTTCTGAGGCAACTGCTTTTAGAAGCAGTAGATTTCCAGACATCCTAGGCTCTTTTTCTCCACGGTATCAAAAAAGATATCAAAAACCTTGTCTCTGGTGGCCTAAAAGAAACGATTAAACCACAGTGGTTCTTTATTGCCCATAAAGAGCCCATCTCACAAATGCACAGTTATTGCACCATAATTAAGCAAAGCCACCCAATTGCTGGTCCTACTGAGCAAACTCAGATGGATTTAAAAGGGCAGCTGGTTTGGTGTCTAGCTGTCCCTTCAGTTATCAACATTCATTAAAGAAGGAAAATTCTGAGGGGGAAAAAGAGAATTCTGGAAGAAGAGGAGGAGGAGGAGGAGGAGGAGGAAGAGGAGGGATTTCTTGGAGACTGTGTTAAAAGTCTTTTCATCTCATCCCATCTGCCCCTCAGAACCTCTACAAATGCCACACAACTTTAAGTAATGATCACAGGCTTAAAATGAAGAATATCTTAGAATCATAATCACTGAGCACAAAAAACTTCCCACGTTGTTCTTGTTGTTAGTTGCGAAGTCGTGTCCGACCCATCGCGACCCCATGGACAACGTTCCTCCAGGCCTTCCTGTCTTCTACCATCTTCCGGAGTCCATTGAAGCTCATGCCTACTGCTTCAGTGACTCCATCCAGCCCCCTCATTCTCTGTCGTCCCCTTCTTCTCTTGCCCTCAATCTTTCCCAGCATTAGGCTCTTCTCCGGTTAGTCCTTCCTTCTTATTAGGTGGCCAAAGTACTTGAGTTTCAACTTCAGGATCTCGCCTTCTAAGGAGCAGTCAGGGTTGATCTCCTCCAGGACTGACCGGTTTGATATCACCTTGCTGTCCAGGGGACTCGCAGGAGTTTTCTCCAGCACTAGAGTTCAAAGGCCTCCATTCTTTGGTGCTCAGCCTTTCTTATGGTCCAACTTTCACAGCCATCCATTGCAACTGGGAAAATCATGGCCTTGACTATACGTACATGACTATAAGCACAGTTATTGCACCATAATTAAGCAAAGCCACCCAATTGCTGGTCCTACTGAGCAAACTCAGATGGATTTAAAAGGGCAGCTGGTTTGGTGTCTAGCTGTCCCTTCAGTTATCAACATTCATTAAAGAAGGAAAATTCTGAGGGGGAAAAAGTGAATTCTGGAGGAGGAGGAGGAGGAGGAGGAGGAGGAGAAGGAGAAGAAAGAAGAAGAAGAAGAAGAAGAAGAAGAAGAAGAAGAAGAAGAAGAAGAAGAAGAAGAAGAAGAAGAAGAAGAAGAAGAAGAAGAAGAAGAAGAAGAAGAAGAAGAAGAAGAAGAAGAAGAAGAAGAAGAAGAAGAAGAAGAAGAAGAAGTTTCTTAGAGACTGTGTTAAAAGTCTTTTCATCTCATCCCATCTGCCCCTCAGAATTCTACAAATGCCACACAACTTTAAATAATGATCCCAGGCTTAAAATGAAGAATAACTTAGAATCATAATCAACTGAGCACAAATAACTTCCCATGTAGGGCTGCCTAAAGCCTATGGCTGAGCTGTGTGAAAAACAATGTTTTCTTAATGGCTCAATGATCCTTACCCTGAAAATTTATCTGACGTTCTTAGATATAAAAGTAGTTGTTGGCAATGCTCTTAGAGCAGTGCCTTCCCAGTGGTAGAGCAACTCTGCTCTCTAATTTTAAAGTTGATTTATGAAAGTTAATAACCTCAAGCTTCTATATAAATGTACAACGATGCTCTAAGGCCATTCTCTAGCTATTAAACACATTTCCAAGTTTAATAATGCTTAGAACATGTTCATTAAAGCAGCTTCATTAAAGTCAAGAGAGCTGATTTTTCTTCTATTACACAATTTCCCCCGCTTTCCTTCTGACAATTTAATTCGTCTTGTCGTAGAAGACTTAAAACATGGTCATTTGTTTAAACCCTAAAAGAAACGTCGTTTTAATGTACAACTTAGTACGACTTGTCTGTGAGAACTTAAACCATCTTAGACACCAATCTTCGATCACACTTTTTGGTTCCAGTAAAGCTTTCTCCTACTTAAAATTGAATCAAACCTAGATGATCCCCTGTTTTTATAAGCAATGCTTGAAAGTTGGAACAAATGAATGGGGGTACATGAATATACAGGTGAAATTGTTTTAATATATTCCAATTTCCAATAGCAGTAATACTAACTCCGATTAGTACCGTTGTAGTCCACCCTTCTTCTACAGAGCACAGTGCACAATTTCTCCACAATCCTTTTCTCACAATAAAATTGTGAAACAGACTGAAAAGACAGCAAGTAGTTCAAAACCATCCAACTTAGTAGATGGATAAGTGTAGACCTTGGAGACTTTTTTCCCCACAACACATACCCGAAGCATGCGAAATCTGCTTTTAATTTGGTTGTGATAGGGGCGCAGAAAAAGATGCAATCCATTGCCAGAGCCTGCTGTATTTCCATCCCTGTGGGCTAAAATGAGGTCACCAGGGTGGAAGCAGGCAGCAAGCCCCACCCCACACAATGTTGTGTGTTGTCTTCAATAATTCCAGTTGGTTTTATCATCTTCAACTGGTATTTAATCCTTATGTAAGATGATTTTGCACTGCATTCTCTGCCAAACGCTACACGGCTGTGTAAATCCTAAATCGGGTCTAAAAACAGTATACTTTTATAAAATGTGGGTGCCAGAAGTGGAATCCCACAATGCGGACAGCATTAAAATTGGGGAAAAGTCAACCGAGGTGATTGTGCGGCAAATCAAGGAACACAAGATACATTTGAAATCTGCAAATGCTAAGCGGTCACTGAGCATTTGTCCAGCTCTGGAGCAAAGAGATAAGGAGGAAAAGATTGTCGGCGGACTTGGAATAAAACAGCTAGAATAAATTTCTTTTTTGCTCGACAGAATTCTCGGTCTGGTCAGTGTCACAAAAATATAGCAATGGTAGATTTCTACATTTCCATCCCCAAAGAGGAAACACACAAGGTATTTTGCATGGCTGCACATGAATCGTGAAAGTTCACAACGGGACCGACACTGTGCACCACAGAAAGATGCTAGGACGAGAAAGGAATCACTTACAAGTCAACTAAAGTATACTTCGCTTCAAGATGAAAAGCTGAGGAAAAAGGCCATTCCTGCACTTGAGGGCCACGAATTTTCTGGATCGTCTAAGAATTACAATCATTTGTATGAAATAGCAGTTTAGTAATTGGACACATTAGACGTTGCGTGGGGCCACAGAACAGATCCTTAAATTTATCCTGATGTGCGAATCTGATTTAATTTCTCCCAAGGGACACAAGGAGGACATTTGTCTTTTCTTCTGAAAAGCTTTTCAGAAGTCTCAAGAGAAGATCAAGAGTGTCCAGAATTAAAAGAAACAGAATTTCGTTAAAACCATCAGTGTAAAAGAAGGGGTCGCGTTTTCTAGGATTCTCCATTTTTTGAAATAAAATAAAAACAGTGGATACAATTGGATAAATATTGTAACAGGCAAAACCAGGGTAATTTTTTTTACTAGGTGCAATGTAAAGATAAAATAAATTATCATTATTACTTTTTTTTAAAAAAAATCGAAAGTAAATCCTGTTATAACGGATAAGAATATATAAAATGTTCACATGAAATATGGTCCCCCAAATTCTCAAGGCTAAATCGCCTGCAACGATCCATGAATGAAATATCCCCTGGTTAAAATTCTGCTCTCTTATTTTGAGAGGGTTAGCAATGTGAAGTAGATAAAACAGTCTTTTCCAAAAGAAACCTTGGCAACAGATAGGACAGACGCGTTTTGAATGCTCCCTCATTAAGATTTCCCCAATCTTAAATCCTTATTAAAATTTAAAATAAGACAGCTAACACACTTGAAATCACAATTCAATATAGGAAGGGCGTCTACAAGGTACATGTGCAGTGGTGGGATTCAAATATGCGAACAAGCGGTTCTCGGTGTGGATGCCGCTTCCGGAAGTCCATTCTGGGCCTGGGCAACAAAAAATTAGCTACCAGTTCTGTCGAAGTGGTGCGAACAGGCTGAATCCCACCACTGCCTATATGTCAAGATGGCAGCTGTGGTGGAATGATCAAATGAAAAAAAAAATAAAAACCAGGGGAACTTCAATAGCACCAACATGGCTGCCATCTCGACTAACTGACCACACCCAGAAGACACCCTTGTAATGCAGACCGTTGAAATGTTCAGACATTGCCTTTGACCAAGTTTCCATTGTCAATGAGAGAAAAAGGGCGTTGTCTTACCTGAACGCCTATTCACGATTCGAGCAGGAAGGTTAAGATAACCCATTGGTGAATTCTCCATCCAATCATGCTGGAGAATATGCTTTACCACACACAAAGAGGATAAGTCGGAATAAAATCTCCAATGGACCCGCCATTCATGTACCAGAATCACACTGGACGCATGACTAGAAGGAGGTTAATTTTTAAATCTCTCTATTTGCCCTCCTTCTTTGGAAACGAGATGGAAGAATGCTCTGTTCGATCGTACCTGGGCTTGTGAGTGCACCAAGGGCCCCTGTTGCTGTGGAGAGTGGATTCGCATTGGCGGTGTTGGCCGAGGACTGGGCTGCGGCGGCGGCAGCTGCTAAGGTTGCCAAATTCTGCAGCTGTAAAGCATTCATTCCTGCAGGGAAAACATAGAGCTGGTGAGGTCGATTAACAGAAGAGCCATAGGGGGCAAAGTGGTTAAAATGCAGTATTGCAGGCTGACTCTGCCCACTGCCAGGAGTTCGATTCTGACCGGCTCAAGGATGAGTCAGACTTCCATCCTTCCGAGGTCGGGAAAATGAGGATCACAGGTTGTTGGGGGCAACAGGCTGACTCTGCAAACCGCTTAGAGGGGGCTGTAAAGCACTGTGAAGCGGGATATAAATCTAAATGCTGTTGCTCTTGCTAAACGCTACCAAATCCAAGCAATTTGTTTTCAATCCACCAACCCAGTGTGAAATTTCCTTCATATTCATTCTTCCAACCTTTTCTTCCCTCCCTCCTCTTATCAGATCATCATTTGTGATACTTCTGTTGAAGTTACTTTCTGCAGTGTCCCTCACCTAAGCTAGCTTTGTTTCGGTCAATGCTTTGAACATCATAGGGATACAACTCCTGTGCCAGTTTCAGATTTGTGCACAGGGGCCTCTGTGTGCATATCAAGAACGTTCCGTGATTGTGCAATCAGAACCTGGCCCGTTAACCCATCGCTTACAGCAGTAACAATGGTGAGAATAATATTCTGTAGTACAGATAGTCCTCAACTTACAACGGTTCCTTTAGTGACCGTTCAAAGTTACAATGGCATTTTAAAAATGTGACATATGGCCGCTTTTCACAGTTATGACCTTTGCAGCATCCCCATGGTCATGTGATCAAAGTTCAGATGCTTGGCAGCTGCTTCATATTTACGACCGTTGCTGTGTTTCAAGGTCATGTGATCCCCTTTTGCAACCTTCTGACGGGCAAAGTCAATGGGGAAGCCAGATTCACTTAACAACCAGGTTACTAACATATCTACTGCATTGATTCACTTAAGAACTGTGGCCAGAAAGGTCATAAAATGGGGCAAAGCTCACTTAACAAAGGTCTCACTCAGCGACAGAAACTTTGGGTGAAAAAAGTAAGGTTCTACATTTAGGCAAGAAAAACCAAATGTACAGGTATAGTATAGGGGGTACCTTGCTCAATAGTAGTAACTGTGAGAGGGATCTCGGAATCCTAGTGGACAATCACCTAAATAGGAGCCAGCCGTGTGCTGCAGCTGCCAAAAAAGCCAACACAGTGCTAGGCTGCATTAACAGAGGGATAGAATCAAGATCACGTGAAGTATTAATACCACTTCACAATGCCTTGGTAAGGCCACACTTGGAATGCTGCATCCAGTTTTGGTCACCACGATGTAAAAAAGATGTTGAGATTCTGGAAAGAGTGCAGAGAAGAGCAACAAAGATGATGAAGGGACTGGAGGCTAAAGCATATAAGGAACGGCTGCTGGAATTGGGTATGTCTGGTTTAACGAAGAGAAGGACGGGGGGGACATGATAGCAGATGACAGGGACTCAGCACGGGCCCTCATGAATGCGAAGCGTGAGTTGCGCCACGAGGCCACAATAAAAAAAATGCAGCGGAAACGATCTCGGGACAGCTCCGAGTTGTTTATCAAAATGTGTGTCAAAGACGAGAGCAGCAGAAAAGAGCCATCTCTTCCTCCTCGCAAAATTTTTTTTTAGAAAGCACCAAAAGAACACCTTGTTATCCAACAAGGATGCTTCTACTTCAAAAGGAAGAAGAGAAAAGATTGTTACTGGCTGACAACCCATCAGTCTGGTTTTACCCGGGATAATTTCCTATCAAGTCCAATCCCCTGTGGTTGAGAATTATGAGGAGTCACCTCAGTCACACGTTTGGAACAATTTCCATTCCAGGGAGACCTGGAAAGGTGTTCGCTGAACATTTATTCAGAGTTCTGAAAGAACATTAACCACGAGAAATTTAATTAATACATGCAATACACACACACACACACACACACGGCAAACCCTAGAAGATCAAGACTGCAGATTGTGCAGGAAGGTTAAATAACAGAAACATTAGGTGCACGTGCCAACACCCGATGCAAAAGGCATCAACAGATTCCTCATATTTTTCACTCTTTAGGAAAACCGGTGTAGGTAATAACGCTCCGGTGATGGCTATCAGAATAAATAAGGGCAGGATTTTTTCACAAGGCCTCTACCTGCCTTGTAGAAATCCACCTAGCAGCCACCTGCCAGCAGGAACTAAAAGAAACATTTCTGCGAGTTGGAAAAAAACCCCAACAACAGCCAGGACTCAAAACAAAGAGGAAAGAGCTAATCTCTCATTGTTCTTTGTCAGTTCATATACCGGCCACATAACTGGACGAGATTTATATTTAACACACCCTACTGTGCAACAAGGCACTTAGCGCAGATAAGCTCTGCTTTTCTTTCCTGACTTCGTGCCATGGATAAATCAGAGAACCTCTTTTGAACCACGGCCACCGTGGTCCAAAACACACTCATTTCAAAGTGTTAACGGCTGACATAATGGGATGTACGGTAGTCAATTGTATCATGACGGGGATATTCATGCCCTGGCTCTGTTTATCACTCGAACCTTTTGTCAGCTGAATATCCAGCCAGGTTGTGTTCTCCTGCTCAGCTACCTTTATTAAGCTACCTTTATTAAAGCCAACAGATCTTCATGACAGGAATGGCTGCTCAACCAGACTGTGTCTTTTCCTTGGAAGAATTCAACAACAAGAACCAGCCCAGATGCACTAGATAGCGCCACTTAAATGGAGGATGAGTGGATAGAGGTGTGAATTAAAGCATTATCTTATTCAGGCAGTCCTGTGTAAGTTTGTTTAGTGACCATTCGAAGTTTGTTTAGTGACCATTCAAAGTTCGTTTAGTGGCCATTCAGAGTTACAACAGCACTGAAAAAAACGACATGACCGTTTCCCATGCTTACGAGCGTTACAGCCTCTCCATGGCCATATGATCAAAATTCAGATGCTTTGTGGGAATCAGCCCCCCCAGAGAAGGAAATATTAAAAGGGCAGAAAAATATATTTCCTCAAAGGATCTTAAAGAGGCAGAAAAGCATCCCCAGTTTTCTTAATAGCCCCAAATCTCCCTCCTCCAAGCAGAAACCAAGTCTGTACAAATGCAGATGTAAATAATCCAGGAAGGCTAGAAGATTAAGAAGACAAAGACACCTAAAATCTACATACCCCACCCAGACTCTGACAGAACATAATAGGATTAACCCACAGATGCCAAAGGGCACACTCAGACTCAGGTCAAAGTTCATGCCACAGGAACAACTCCAAACAAAAGGCTCCAGAGGATATAAAAACCCACTCCCTACATGTGCTCTCTCTCTTTTCTTCCAGAGCCATCTTTCTGTCTGGCTCTCCTCTTCAATAAACTGCAACCTTCTTTCTAAAGCAGTCACCATGTTGTTTATTCCCAGCTTGGACTGAACCCTGATGAAGACTTTTCCTTCAACAGGTTCACGCAATGTCCCGGGGTCATGTCATCACCTTTTGTGACTTTCTGACAGGTCAGGTCAATGGGGAAGCCAGATTCACTTAACAACCGTGTTACTAAGTTAACAACTGCAGTGGTTCACTTAACAACGGTGGCCAGAAAGGTCGTAAAATGGGACAAAGCTCACTTAACAACTGCCTTTCCTAGCAACAGAAAATTTGGGCTCAATTGTGGTAATTATAATTTCCAGGTTGCATATCCCATTGCTCTGCATCTGATTCCTCTTTACTTCTCAAGCTGCTTATGCTGTTGATCAGGGGTCTTCAAACTTGGCCCTTTTATGACTTGTGGCCTTCAACTCAGCATGCTGGCTGAGGAATTCTGGGAGTTGAAGTCCACAAGTCATAAAAGGGCCAAGTCTGAAGGCCCCTGCTGTTGATTATCATCCAAAATGTATTGTTTTCACGCAGAAGCAAGAGACTTTTTCTTCTGTTCCTGTGGCTTCTCCCCTACATTCCACAGTAAAATGAAATGAAAAATAATCTGATAATCTTCTGCTGAAACCACTGAATATTCTACAGACACAGTACTTTTGGAAGCGATGTTAATTATTTACATTTGGGGGGGTGGAGAAGGAAGAGAGGTTCCCTCTAGAAATATTTCTTAGTTCTTATGCTGGAGGAAAAAAACCCGTTGAGTATAAACGTGCAATTTAATTGATTTCGGCAATATAAACTGCTCAGCTATCAAAATAGGGTAATATTCTGGACAGCGAGAATCGCAACTTGGATACTCATTGCTTGGCCGATTAAAAACACAATTAAATTATGCTTATAATGGATGTACAATATGTCTGCTGAAAATGTAAGATTTTTATAAAATGTATTTATAAGGAGAGGGGCGATGAAAATTTAATTTAATGTTCACCTTAGGTAATTTGGTGTCTTATTGTTCACAGCAATTACCATAAATCTACATATCAATAAGGAAGAACAGATGTCAGTTGTTACATCCACTTGCCAATCAGGCTTGTTAAAAATCGGCAGATGGATGGCGGTAGAATTCTCTCATATGGCCCATTAGCACATTTGCAGGAAACTGATGTAGTACCCTTGCAGTGACACATGCAGTCCTGTTGAAACACAAATAAATTGGAGACCTGAGGTTTCCATATCACAACTCAGGGTGTGAAGCTGGCAGAGCAAACTTTCTCACCCAGGAAGAGAAAACTTTAATCTCACTTCCCCCTTTACGACTGTGGGAAGTCAGCCCCCAAGAGAAGGAAATATTAAAAGGGCAGAAAAATATATTTCCTCAAAGGATCTTAAAGAGGCAGAAAAGCATGCCCAGTTTTCTTAATAGCCCCAAGTCTCCCTCCCCCAAGCAGAAGCCAGCTCTGTACAAAATGCAGATATAAACCATCAGGAAGGTTGAAGCTAGGAGATTAAGAAGACAAAGACACCTAAAATCTGCATACCTCACCCAAACTCTAAGAGTCATTAGCCCCAGCACCAGGGAAGCAGGATATGACCTTTGGGTCATAATAGGATTAACCCATCACCATCAGAATACTAGAAGGGCACACTCAGACTCAGGTCAAAGTTCATGCCACAGGAAG